TTTTCTGTTTTTCTTTCTAAATACATATATATTTAGTTTTTCTGAATTGTTATCTTATTGTTGTTGCTGTTTGTTTATGTTAGGGTTTTAGGCCTTTTGATTTCTTAATTATTTATTTTATTTTATTTTATTTTTTGTGCAGTGGACTTTCACTTATATTTTAAAAATATTTTATATTTCAGTTTGTTTTTTGTAATTTTTGTATGTTCTTTTCTGTTTTTCTTTCTAAATACATATATATTTAGTTTTTCTAAATTGTTCTTTCATTGTTGTTGCTGTTTATTTATGTTAGGGTTTTAGGCCTTTTAGTGCCCCATCTTTTAACATTTTTTTATTTTATTTCATTCTATTTATTTTTTGTGCAGTTGATTTTTATTTCTTAAATTGATTTGTTTTTGCAAATTTTGATGTATTCTTTACATTAAAGTTATACGGATTTTAGACTCCCCATCTTTTTAAAAATGTATTTTTTTATTTTCTTGTTTAGTTGACTCTTATTTCTTAAATTAGTTGTTTTTTGGGGTTATTTTGTCTGTTCTCTTCTGGTTAGTAAATCATTTGGGCGTCTGTCTGAAGGGCTTTTTCTCCTGATCGTTAGCTTTTCTCTCCTTTGGATCTAATCAATAAATCCTGAGAGACCAGAGGAGGAAACAGGATCCCCCCCCCCCACAGTTGTGGAGTCGAACTTTACAGACTCAGTTTAACATTAAAGCTGCAAACGTCCCGTTTAAATTCAGATTTAATTGTGTTTAATTGTTTAATAAGTGTGTTTGAATTTAAACACACACACACTCCCTTTGGGTAAAGAACCTCCTTTTCTTTCTAAAATGTTCATTTTAATTTATTCTTTATTGTAATTGACTTTTACTTCTCCTATTTTGTTTGTTTTATGTCATTTTTGTCTACTATTTTCTGTTTTTCTTTCTAAATACATATATAATACATATGTTCTTTTATTGTTGTTGCTTTTGTTTATTTTAGAGTTTTAGGCCTTTTAGATGCTCCTTTTTTTAAAAATATTTATTTATGTATCTATTTTTTGTGCAGTTGACTTCTATATCTTAAATGAGCTTTTTTGTGTAATTTTTGTCTATTCTTTTTCTGTTTTTCTTTCTAAATACATCTATACTTCTTTATAATAGATTTATAATTTTTTAGATTTATTACATTTATAATAGATTTTTGTTTATTTTGGGGTTTTAGGACTTTTAGATGCCCAATCTTTAAAAAAAAACATTTTATTTTATTCTATCTAGTTTTTGTGCATTTGGCTTTTAATTCTAGTATTTTGTTTAATTCTTTTGTAATCTTTGTCTTTTTTTTCTTATTTTCTTTATAAATACATCTATATTTCTTTCTTCTAAATTGTTCTTTTTTGTCCGTTGCTGTTTATTTATGTTTGGGGTTTAGGCCTTTTAGTGCCCCATCTTTTAACATTTTTCCTTTTATTTTTATTTATCTATTTTTTGTGCAGTTGACTTTTATTTCCTAAATTGATTTTTTTGGGGGTAATTTTGATCTATTCTTTCCTCTGTTTCTTTCTAAATACATCTATACTTCTTCTAAATTGCTCTTTCTTTGATTCTTTGATTGTTCTCGTGGTCTCCCAGACATAACTCGTGTTTAAACCTAAATAAACATCTAAATAAAGGCTGATTCTGTTGACTTTATTTATGTTGTACTTTTTGTCTGTTCTTTCCTCTTTTTGTTTCTAAATACATCTATTCTTCTTCTAAATTGCTCTTTCTTTGATTCTTTGATTGTTCTTGTGGTCTCATGTTGTAACACTGATGGTCTCATGTCGTATCCTCATATTAAACCCAGACATAACTCGTGTTTAAACCTAAATAAACAGCTAAATAGAGGCTAAACATACTGTAACTTGTGTTTAAACCTAAATAAACAGCTAAATAGAGGCTAAACATACTGTAACTGGTGTTTAAACCTAAATAAACACCTAAATAGAGACTAACCTGAGAGGCTGCTCCAGGTTCGGTTGATGTCCCTCAGCGCCTGCTTCTCGGCGATGGCCCTCTTGATCTCCTCCAGAACCAGGTTCAGCTCCTTAGATCGCCTCAGGTTCTCCTGCTCGGCCGAGTGGAGCCGCTCCCTCAGGGCCAGGAACTCCCTCTGGTAGATGTCCACCACGTCTCCTGCAGAAAACACGACCAGGTGTCAGAGATTTAAACCCCGGCTGAGTCCTGGATGAGTTTGGTCCTGTTTGGGGCGGAAAAACAGCTAGAAACGGGTGGATTTCAGAACCTAAAAGGACTAAATCCCCCTAAAATAAGAGTTTGTTTGACAAAAATGATGGAAAAATGTCAGTTTTTCTTCAAGAAATTGATGTAATCCCATAAAACTGATGAAGGAATACCCTAAATTAGTAAAGGAAATCAAATTGTATCAGAATTTATCAAGTTTAAACAGTTTAAATTCAGTTTTATGAACATTTAACACGTTGTTCTTAGGCTTAAAGTGTCTTTCTCGGATAAATGCCCCTAAAAATGTCAGTTCATTTGACAAAAATTATGGAAATATGTCAGTTTTTCTTCAAGAAGTTGATGTAATCCCAAAAGAATTTCTGTAATTTAAACAGTTTAAATTCAGTTTTATGAACACTGACAATCTGACTCAAAATATAAATAATAGATTAGTTTTTCATAATAAGACGATCTGATATCTCACAATTAACAACATCTGAGCCTCTGATCAAATTAGAGTCCAGTTTCTGGCTTTTTTTTCTCCAAAATCAGCTCTAATTTTCTCCTATTCATCATTAAAATTCCTCCAACCTTTTTCCATAGCTGATTTTCACACAAAAAAGACGTTCCAGCTCCATTTAATGAGCTTTTTCTGGATTAAAAATCAACATCTGAGCCTCTGAGTTCAAAGAAAATCACATTTTCTGGCTTTTTTCTCCAGAAACAGGAAGAAAAACATGCAACAAAAACTGAAAACTGACCTGATAAAGACAGAAAATATAAAAAAACAGATTTTTCTGAAACAGGAAATAAAACGGTTTTTCATGAATAACACTAGCCCCCCCCCCCCCGGATTAATTCATGAACAGGTATAGAAACGCTTCCTAATCTGAGTGGAAACACGGAGCTGAGAGCCGAGTCCTGGCCGGTTAAAAGGGAGATCTACTGTTCTGGATTTCTTCCCCCCCCCCCCACGGTCGCCACGGCAACGGCCCTGCTGCTGGATGTTAGCGGAGAAAGGACCTCAGGAAAGAGGAGGAAATAAATAAAAACTAACAGATAAATAAAGAGAAACTACCTAATAAACAAAGAAAATAAACAAATGAATAAATAAATACGTAAATAAACTGACTAACTAACTAACTAACTAACTAAAAAATAAATAAATAAATAAACAAATAAATAAAGATAAAGAAACAGGAAAGAAAGAGAAACGAATAGAGAAATAAAGAAAGAAAGAAAGAAAACCCAAATGAATAAATAAATAAACAAATGAATAAATTAACAAAATAAATAAACTAACTAACTAACTAACTAACTAACTAACTAACTAACTAACTAAC